GCTCGCCGTGGCGGCGGGCGGCCCCAGCACCGCTGCCCCCGCCCAGGCCCAGCGCTTCCCCCAGGCCTCGGCCCTCCCAGCCCTGCCGCTCTGGCGACAGGAAAACGCCCCATGAAGCACCCAATATTCCCGGGATTTCTGCTTTGTAGTTATCTTTTAAAATCACCTCTGCCTAAACGATAGAAAATTGGGTACGGCGTGTACTGCGAGGAAATTGTAGATCAGTCTTTTTATTGCATGTATCAGAGCTATTTTTGTGCTCCACCCAGGAACTGTGCACTTTGATTTATGCTTGAGGAACCAGTCACACTTAACCATACTGACTGTAAACAGCCCTTAAAGTCTTGGGTTTTGTTTTCTCTTTCCTGGCCTTCGAGAACAGTGCAAGATATTAAATTAAAATCTCTTGTGCTGTTGCAAGTCCGTTGAATTCTAATGAGTTGGAGACCTGGAAGAGAAAAATCTACTGACAAACTCAAAGAAACTCAAACTTTGGTGGACTGATTTTGAAAAGAAATGACAGGGAATGCCAAGGCTTTGTAAACTACAGAGACCCCAATGTAGCCGTGTCTGAGTGTAGTAAAGGGTGAGAAACTGTTGCTAAACTTAAATTACATGTAAAGAAAAGCACTTTAATGTTAAGCTGGTGTTTCAAACTCGATAAACTCAGTGCAGCTCCCTGAGTTTTAGTTTTTGTATTTGTACGTATGGCTCAAGTTAGCACTTAAATCTGTTTTATGCTTTGGTTTCTTAATGACCTCAATGTACAAACAGGATGTTGAGAAGCAAAAAGAGCATGATTGAGTGTGAATGTGTGTTTTTAAGGTGTATTATCTTTTCCTTCCCAAAGGACATATGTGGGTCAAAGCCACCCGGCCCTGTTGCTGCTGTTAACATCTGTATCRTTGCAAAGAATGACGTTTTTGCAACTTTTGACAGTGTTTTGTTGCGATATGGAGCCTGCTTTCTAGCAGAGATAATCTAGGGTGTCTTGGCTTCCGTAGCAACTTAGTTTTTTCTACATTGAAACTTCAGCTTAAGCACTTTGGTTAACACTAAGTTAGGTGTGCACATCAGCTGGTTCATGCCTAGTCAGCTTCATTTCGTGTTTAGGTATGTTGCTTTTAACATAAATCATGACCTCTGTGATACAATGAGTGGGAAGGGAGAAAAGGGCATTCAGATACAGGAGCTAACACTTTAAGTTTGGTCTGTTGCAATTTTTCCGTAGTTTGCAGTTTCAACTGTAAGGATAGAAACTCATGCTACATTTGACTTTTCACATTTACCTTCTGATTTTATGGAAGTCATTGTTAAATTAGCCTTAATTATTTAACTTACTGGCAAGAACTTGCTTGACTAGAATTAATTAAAAGTATGAAACAGTATGAATTAATCTTAGGCTTTGTCCAGTTGGTTATCAGCCATTAAGAATCATGGTTGGAGCAGTCTGGCTTTGCTGAGAAAACTCAACTTGTTCTTCAGGTTTATTTTCATAAATAAAAAATTCTAAAGCTGAGCAGTAATTTCAAAGCATTCAAAGCAGCTCTGAAGTGTAATAACAAGCTAAATTATAAGATAGACTATTACTTCATTAAAACACTCTTGATGCGTAATTAAAAAAAAACCTGCTGATCACTGTCACATTGTAACTTCATTTGTTTTCGAATGTAACCCTAAACTTCAGCTAGATAAGAGTAGACTTACTCTATGCAAGCTCATTATTTAAATAAATTAATTGCCCATGATGTGAAAGGGTTTAAATACCACTGCTGTTTTTGGGTTATAACTTTTAGCCTGATTTAACTTTAGTTCTAACATTCCAAATCCTAAAAATCATGGGTTTGTCTATGTGTGTATATATAAATGTGTGTGTGTGTATAATGTATATTAAACATGAGTGATTTGTGCACAGAAAGCTTTGTCCTTGTTTTGAGGCTCTCTCGGTACATGTGAGCACTGTGAACAGGCCCTTTACTTTTGCTCTTCAGTCCCCTTTGGCATTCTTTCTTTAGGAATGCAGTCATTTCTCAAGTGCTGGGTGGAAAGTACTCCATACCTCTTCTTTTAAGAATGTTTCCTTTTAGTTATAATGTCATATTTATTTCATTTTTTTCTCTCTTTGTTCTTAATCATTTTCTCATCTTTTCTTCTTTCTCTCACTTTTTTTTTTTTTTTTTTTTTTAAATCCATTTCCTGTTCTTGGTGTTCTCTTGTTTTGCCCTTGTGCAATTAAGAGTGCCCCTAGTGTAGGGCCTTGTTATGTTGGTAATTACTTTACTACTTCAATATTTGCTCCTGGATAGTTTAGTGTGTTTTGTGCTGAGGAGAACATGTGGTGTGTCATGGTTGGGAGTTGCCGTGATGCACAGAGATTTTGTTAGTAACAGCAGCTGCTTAGGGCTCTAAAAAGGATGGTGATTTCAGCAGCAAGGGTGGTGTAAAAATTCCTACCTCTTCATTTAGGATGAAAAAGCTGTTAGTTTAACCGTTACGTAAATTGAATCTCTAAACCTGCCTGAATTAATAGGAATTAAATCCAAAAACAATTTACAGAGTGTTATTTTTTCTTTTTTAATCAGATAGTATGATTGAAAGTTACCGACAGGGCTTTAGGCCCMAGTCACTGCCACATGGATGGCGTTAGTAGGCATTGTACTGGAAGGCTTGTGGTTTGCATTGTTTGTCCTTCTTGATGAAACTAACTTTAAAATTGGATGCATAAAAATAATGAAAATGAAATGTCCAGTCAAGCATTGATAGGGATATAATCACAGAATTTAGTGGACTTTAGTTTGAATTGTTTACTCTTCTATTAATTACACTTTATTTTCAGAATTTCTTGAGGTTGGCAAAAAGCAGCCTGCCCTTGATGTTCTCTATGATGTTATGAAAAGTAAAAAACACCGAACATGGCAAAAGATTCACGAGCCGATTATGCTGAAGTACCTGGAGCTCTGCGTGGATCTCCGCAAGAGCCACCTGGCGAAAGAAGGACTGTACCAGTACAAGAACATTTGCCAGCAGGTACTGCTCTTGAAACTCGGTCATTATATGCAGCATGGTATGTGTCAGCTAATATGATATTAAAAATACATACTAATTAGTCTTGAGTTAGAATAAATTTGCTTTTTAGGTGTTCTGTCTTTTATAGAATTTGCATTTTAAATATTTGCTCTCTCTTGTGGGGGAAACTATTTTAAATGTTCTGCCTTCTGTAGGTGAACATCAAATCTTTAGAAGATGTTGTTCGAGCCTATTTAAAGTTAGCTGAAGAAAAAACAGAAGCAGCTAAGGAAGAGTCACAGCAGATGGTACTGGATATAGAAGATTTAGATAACATTCAAACTCCAGAAAGGTAGGAAGCCCTTCTTTAAAGCCATACATAGAAACATATTCTTTTTTTTTTCTGTTTCTGTCTTAAATGCAGATGGATGCTTAAAAGAGTACCTAGTAAGAGCTGTATGGGTACCAAGTGCTTTCTGATAGAGCACACAGAAGATTTGAGGATTAGAAACACAGCTGGAAGTGACTTTGGATAAGGATAGGGTGGAAGAGGGGGACTGTGTGTGTAATCTCAATTTTACATGCTAGGCTGAAAGATGAACTGCTGTGTCACCCATAGAAGCGTGTGACTGCTGGAACAGGACAGAAGAGACTAGCTAATGGAGGAGACAGAGCTGAGAAACAGGTTTGCTTCCAAGAAAATTAAAGAAAGGAAACAAGCAAAACCAGAAGGTGAATGAGAAAGAAACTGAGAAGTCTCTGTATTCCAGAAGAGAGGAAAGAGAGGTGGCAGACAGAGCTAGGGGTCATTGTGCAGGGAGTACTGAGGATGTATATGAGCAGGAAGGATCCAAACTTGCAAGGAAGATTAAGAGTTATTTGACTAACCTCTTTTTAGAGTTGCTTGTATGGGTGGAGGCATCTTTTCAAGAGGATATGAAGACTGATCAAAGCCCTACATCCAGAAGTTAAGATGAATATCTAAAGGTAGAAAGATAGCGGAAGAACAGAGTGTGAATTTATAGGATGAAAGCACATGAGTAATTGAGAATTATGGTAGCATAGCAGTTGCAAGTGGAGTATTGGTTGTTCAGGAAACCCAGAATAAGATTGAAAAGACCGATGGATACGCTGGGGGGGAAAAGAGGGAAAAATAGAAGGGGTAGTCTGAACTGAAGTAAAATCAGTGMAGCAAAACCACTATAGTTTCTTTAATAAAAAAAAAGGGAGAACGGTTGTGGGAACCAGACCTTATCTTTAGAGCATCTAATTGAATCCCCACAGAAATACTTGTATTGGACAATTAGTTACTTAAACTGCTTATTATTGAATAGTGAACAAATGCTGTTATATTATGGACAAATACGTGTAATGTTATTTTACACTTGCCTAGGTAATTGATGAGATAATASAAGGAAGGATGTAAAAAGTAGATAGATTCTGAGTGTTATGGTTAATTGAATGGCAAGGCATTTAAAGAGAGGGTCCAGAAGAACTTTGGAAGAGTGCAGAGGAGGACTGATCAGTGAGTACATGTACGCTAGCACATTGACCTKTGTCTAGCATATAGCTTAARCAGTGCTCGGTTATGTTGTAACCACTTYCAAATTGCTGGTTTCTTCTGCCCTGCTGGAAGTCACCATTCTGTTGTCAAAGTGGTTTGTGGGAGACTTTCCTAATCAACTTCAGGTCAGATGCAGTGTGTGCTTATGTCCTTCAAACGAATCTGTTGGTTTAGGCAGTGCTCGCATTAACTGATGGAACTTACATGAGCTGATAAAGCTACCTACTGTGCTGCAGAGAGAAGGTGAAARGTGAGGAACAAGTAATGTTTTCAGTCTTTCTAACTGCTTTTTTAAAAAGATAGCTGTCCACATCCTTCAGGAAACAAGAAATGTAGGGAATTAATTCAAATACCTGTGTCAAAACAAATGAAACCTCAGTGCTAAAATTCACTGAGTGCTAAATTTCACGTGTGCTAATTCACATAGTGCTAAAGTTCACTGAGGAAGTGGCTTGGGATTAGCCTTGCTAGGTGTGATCTGGAAATTAAAGCAATACTTTGTATTTGTAAGAATGTTGGTGCTGGAATAAAGGGAATGTAGTTCTAGAGAGTAGGAAAATTTCCCTGTCTGAGGTAGAGGGAAAAATCAGCTTTCTTGTTGTAATATGTGGAAGGATAATTTCTGCCCKTGAGTTTTGAAAATGCTAGCAGATGAAATTTCAGTATAGTATGAAATGATTCTATTAAAGACACCATCTGAGAGTACRTTTTTCTCATCCTCCATATGTAAGTTAATAGAGATCTCAGCAGCAACTGATCTGTTATCTTGAYCATAGCAACTTTTAGGACTTTTGAATGGACTTGGAATGGCTTAGCAGGACTTAGAATGACTTTTGAAGGAAGTAGTACATGCATTTAAAAATTGGGGAGAAAARTCAGCACAAGTTTGCCATAGGGTAGATGCCATCAGATTAAATTGGTAACTTCTCTGTTAATCTATTTTTTTTTTTTAGATTCAAGAAATACCAGAGAGATAAGCTGAGAAAAAAATAARTAAAGCTGTTGCTACCATGCCAGGAGGGATGTTTCAGTTGGGAGGTGACTAATATGTTGCATAATGAGYGACTGACAACATGCAATAATGAAAGGAGAGGTGAAGGATGTTGCTGTGAAATCCTTCAAGGAAAATCCTGGCATAGAAACTAGAGAAATTTAGTGAAGATACAAAGTTGGAAGAAACTGTAAAGGTGGATGATGATTTTGTCTTGTGTARGTGACCATGAGGAATGGAGTTACAGTAGCCAAAAACCACAGGATGTGGAGTAAAAACAAAGATGTRGAGTAGAAGGCTGTGGATGAAATGCAAGGCTGTGCTGCATGTGCTGGGTGCTCAGCGGTTGCAAGACTTGAAAAGTTTGCAATGCTGTCTTTAGTGATTGTTTCAGGATGATGTGATGATGAGAAGCAATTTCAGTGCTWACGTGTTTCAGGTGCTGGACTGTGGTGAAGACTGAGATCAAAAAAAATTGTAAAAWAAGAACCTGAAGAAAATATTGAATMTTTTCATCTACAATAAATTGTAATTTAAATTCTTCCTGACAGATACTAATCTAAGTCTACCTTGCTCCTTAAATTCTGCAATAATAAAAAATCCTTAGCCTCTTTTGCCAATTCATATTTTGATATTTTATTATCCTTGACAATAACAAATTATTCACAGTGTCTAATTGAAATATTCTTCSTTACAGAGAAATCTCATCAATACCTAGACACTGAAGATTGACTGACTGACTCTACATACTTCTCTTTTATGTATTTGAGGACTAAAAAAGGTCTCRGTCCCAGTTCTTCGGTGAACAATTTGAGTGTTAAGTGTTCCTTAGGTTGTGTTTTCTAGACTACTTGACATTCTTCTTTGCTTGATTTTGCTTGGGGAAAATCTTTAGTTTGCATGTTGAAAGTTGAATTAGAACTGAAAGCAGTTTAGAAAAAGGTGGTAGAAAAGTTAACCGAGTTTATTATAAAGTTTGGTACAGAAAGAATTTTAAAAATGAAAGCTTTTAAAAGTAAGGTGGTTCTTTAAGTTTATCATTGATAGGAGTAGGGAGAGAAAGGACTATAGAGCATAAGGGATAATACTAGTGATAGTGAATTTGTCTCAGTGCCTCAGGAATCCCTTCTAGTCCTTTACTTTTTGTAAACATGGAACCTAGAATCARAGGCCATTAAAGCAGAATTGCCAGATCTCACTTCTAAAATCTTAAGCAATCCGTTTTTTCATGCCAGCATTTTAAAAGGATTTCATACTTTCAATTATCAATTTATTAGTATTACCAGCATCTAAGCACTTAGGAAAGRTAGTATGTTGTTGTTGTATGATATGTTGATAGTATGTTGAAAGATATGATGTGAGAGCTGGAGGGATTTTTGTTAATTGAGCAGTGAGAGAAAATGATGTTTAGCATAATTTGCAACAAAGTATGCCCAATTATATACRATTCTGTTAAGTATCACAAGATGGATATTTAAATAGATAAAGTGATACTTTTGATACTTCTGTACGTAGGTCAAGTCACACTTGAGTTTTGTGGTGATAATRTCGGGGTGTAAAGTAATTCTTGTGTGGCCTACAGTTTGCTTGTTGACAAAATTCAAACAGAAAAAGGCAAATGGAGTTAAGGTTGCAAATAAAAGGCAGCAGGTTTTGTTGTTGTTTTTGTTGTTGTTTTGTTTCTTTTTTTAGAGGTAGTGCAAATCATGAGGCAACAGAATATCGGGTTTCCGCTGTGTCATATCAGCAAGTTCAGATGAGCTCCCTGCACTAGCACTGCAGGTGGCTGAAGAAGGAAGTTTCAGCAAGCAGGAAAGTATCCAAGAGGAAAATGATACAGGGATCTAACAGAGGCACAGTCAGCTGTTGCCTGGTAGAAGAGGAAAGGAGAGAATCCTGGAATAAGGTTCCTTTGGTTAATGTGAAGGACGTGCAGACYCCCGAGGCATCTGTTCTCTCTGCAGCGTGTATGTGTCAAGTTAGCAAAAACCAGATATTTTGCATCCTTTGGAAGAGTCTGAGGGACCAATTTGAAAGTAATGAATAGATTTCTTGTTAGATGTTTAGATTCCTCTGCTCTCCCCTTGAGTCCTGAAAACTGGAATTCTGGAGAATAATATACGATTTTTTGATTCCCTCTCCCTCTTGATTGCAGTGTTCTTTTGAGTGCAGTGAGTGGGGAAGACACTCAAGATCGTACTGACCGACTGCTTTTGACACCTTGGGTTAAATTTCTGTGGGAGTCCTACAGACAATGTCTGGATCTTCTCCGAAATAATTCCAGAGTGGAACGTCTGTACCATGATATTGCACAGCAAGGTAAGTAGAGAAGATGGAAACAAAAGTGCAGTGAAAATCAGGACCACCCATGTTACCTATTTTAAAACTACAAAATTATAACTTTCTTATGTCTGAGTTGAAAACGTGGTGATTTCTTAACTGTATGTATTTGTAGTATTCTTAAAATTACAAAGGATCCTTAAAATTGGTGGAGTTCTCAATCTTTTCTTGTAGCAAAAATATCCAAGGGAAAAGTTATTTTCCTGACTATACTGACAGTTAAGAATTAGTGCTGTTTGTTTGTTTTTATTTACAGATCAAACTTAATCTTTTTTTTTCTTTTCAATGGCAGTTGTGCTTTCTATATATGTATACTGTATCAACTAAATTCCGGGACTAACATACATAAAAGGAGTACTCTAAAAAGTGTCATAAGCTATGAATTTTTGCATAGAAATAACTTAAGAAAATATTATTTGGAAGGTGATAGGAAATGGTCAGTCTAATTCTTCCTGGCATTATTCTGCAARTAGTGAATTATTAAGCATCATTATTTTTTGTTATTTATTTTTTGTTTGTTTAAGGACAAGAGATAAATGGAACAACTTTTCCTTTGTGGCTATGACTTAGGACTCTGTCGTTTTGAGAAAGAGGCTGTTATTTTTAGCTAGACTCAAATTACGCAAGTACATTAGGAAAGGTGACTGATGAGTTCTAGGTGCCTTATTACGTTTAAGTCTCTGCTGCAGTGCCAGGAATTTGTCTTTTTCCAGTTACTGATACAGAAACTTTACATTTAAATGGCAGTGACCCAATGGCAGCAGATTTTTCACAGAGAAATTAAARGATCAAAGCTTTTTTCTTTTTTTTTCTGTGTCATCTCCATTCTTTTGAARTCTTTATTGAGCTAATTTTACTTATACATAAATACATAAATAAATAGCTTGAGACTTTCCCCTCACATTTTACAGGCTTTAAATGTTTGAATTCCTCTGAGCCTCAGAATTTTATTTGCACTAAGTTCAAAATAAAACCAAAATACCCTGCTTGGAACATTTTGGAGATGGAAAGTGTCCGTGCTTTAYGTTTAATTTTGTAGAAGCATCTCTCTTTTTTGAGGTGAAGTTGGTAGTGCTCTGCACTGTTACTTTTTSATTATACACAAAATTTAGATGATTATGTCTCTTTTTATCTGTTTTTGGGCTGTAAGGTTCTTCAAACTTACTAGTTTTTATATTTGAAAGCCCTTTAGGATTACAGTGAAATGGGCACTCGCTAACATTCCTCGGTTATCTGCTTTCTGCAGCTTTTAAGTTCTGCCTGCAGTACACGCGTAAGGCCGAGTTCCGCAAGCTCTGCGATAACCTGAGAATGCACCTGGGGCAGATCCAGCGGCACCACAACCAGAGCACAGCCATCAACCTCAACAACCCCGAGAGCCAGTCCATGCACCTGGAGACCCGCCTGGTGCAGCTSGACAGCGCCATCAGCATGGAGCTGTGGCAGGTATGAGGAGCCCTGTCCTGGAATCACAGCGGCATCTTCAGCTTCTCCACAGTCTGGTCCATCTGGGGCATGTTCCATGCTATATTCTCCACAATAAAGACAGGATAGTAGCTGAAGAATAAAGGTTATATATCTAGACTGTGATACTACATGCATATTCAATATTTAGAGTCTGATGTTCCTGGAATTGCTTTTTCACACAGCATTTCAAAGCAGATATCTGCTGTATGTGGTGGATGCGAAAAGAAGATGGTAGCATTTAGTGGTGAAGTGGCTGAAGCTTGTTCAAGCTGTGGAAGTTAATCATGGTGTCTTCTCCTCTGACATTCTGCATTCCCATGAATTAGGGCCCCTGGAAGTAGCTGGTATACAGTGAAGTCTGTTAGGCTGGGCCTCAGCACTGCCACTGGAAGTGTGCTGGTACCTAGCCAGGGAGAGCACTGTTGCAGGAAACCTTTCCAAGATGTGCTTTCTTTTGGAACCTTCATAATGTCAAATTCATTAAAATAGTTATTTTTATTGATCTGGAGACCTTTCACTATTGCATTATTTCCTTTCTAGATATGTAAGTAGTTGCATGTGATTCTTGATTTCTATGTAGTTTTAGGGGAAAGTGTGCCCATTTTTGGTTATGCTTATCCACATATGCTTATATGGGAAATCATAGTAGTGGAAAATTTCTGATATTCTGAGATTTTCCTTTTTTTTTTTTTTGGCTTAAAATCTGAAAAGAAAACAAATCTTTAGCAAATTACTCAAAATAAGCTTTAACTATCAAATTGTAGCAAGTGGAGTTAATAAATTGGCAGTATATGCAAATATTTTGTTTAGTAGGTAGGAAATACTAAGCTAAAGTTCACAGCTTTTGGAGGCAGTTAKGGGCTATAGTCTTATAAAAACCTTCACTTTTCTAGCAGTTGCCAATAACTTCCTTGAAGCAGTGTATCTGTTTCTTTCTTTAGGAAGCTTTCAAAGCAGTGGAGGATATTCATGGGCTGTTCGCACTGTCAAAGAAACCACCCAAACCACAGCTGATGGCAAATTATTATCACAAAGTTTCAACTGTTTTCTGGAAATCGGGGAACGCTCTTTTCCATGCATCCACACTTCACCGGCTGTATCACTTGTCAAGAGAAATGCGGAAGAATCTTACACAAGAGGAGATGCAGAGGTGGGGAAAGATAGTTACCGTGATCATAGATGCTATTTTTAACCATTAAATCCAAAAATAAATTGTACCCCAGAAGAAGGAGATGACTTATGCCTGGTTATGAGCAGCTTTGCTTGAAATGTCTCCAAAAGAAATCTAGAGCAAAAAAAAGGATAATTTTACCAAGTTACAGAGTTAGTCAAGTAGAAGTCAGGATCCACCTGAGTTAAACCTGCTTTTCTGTAGCTGTCTGGGAATCAAAGCAAGTTAATAAGTACTTCTGTCTTCTTTCCTTTGCATTTTGGCTAGTATAAACTTTCCCTGAAAATTTATACATTACAGGAGTGTGTAAGTTCTTTGGTTTAATGATAAATCATCATCTGGCGTGATTCTGGCAAGACTCTTCAGACATGCGGGATCGTGTATCTGTTTAACTATATATTATATAGTCAGTATTATAATATTGACTGTATTGGCCTCACAAGTTCATTTACAGGTCTTCATAGAATCAGAGTCTAGTGGGAATAAATATTCCGTGTAACTTCTGAAACTCCTGTTCATCTTGGCACTATTGTCAAAACATAATGTCACATCAGAGAGTACACKCAGCTTTTTCAGGAACGTTTAAAAATTGTTGCAATCCAAATGATATTTATGTATTTAAGGTTAAAATTATGTCTGAARTATCTCTGCTTTCTATTGTTGTAATCATTTCATAGTATCTTGGTGTGTGTATCTTAGGCACTTGTACAGATACACTGCCTAYATATGTACACATGCATACACACCTGAGTAGGAAGAACACATTATCAAAACTTCTGAGTACTGAAGAACATTGCGTGCTCTAGTYGTCCTGCGCAGATGCCATCTTTCCTATTATTGTTTATATTTTAATAGGTTTTATAATTTTTCAGCATCAGTGCTTTCTTCCCTGGGCATGAATTGGTGTGTGGATGTAGAACTGTTCTCAGCCATTTCATCTTTTGGGGTTTTGTCAACAGGATGTCCACTCGAGTCCTCCTGGCCACTCTGTCGATTCCCATAACTCCGGAGCGCACGGATATCGCCCGTCTCCTGGATATGGATGGCATCATCGTTGAAAAGCAGCGGCGTCTCGCAACCCTACTGGGTCTTCAGGCCCCTCCAACTCGGGCCAGTCTCATTAATGACATGGTAGGTMGTGATACTTGGGCAAGAAGCTTTTCAACATGTGAGTCTGGTTTCTTTCTAGAAGCACCGTGCTCAAGTGTGAGGCATTAGTTTCAAAATACAAAATCTTACTAATTTTTGTAATTGGTAAGAGTGGCAATAAGGAAGAGTGGCAATAAAGGAAGGCCTGAACATTTGCGTAAAGTAAAGGTTAACATTCGGTACTGCCCATTAAATTAACCAATAATTTTTCAAGTTTTGAAACTTAGAGGGACTTTGAAAAAGGTTTTGAACTAGAACTTTTATTTTTTACCTACACTAAGGGAAGGAATATTTAATTGAATGTAAGTTCTATACCTCTCTCTTTGGGTTTTGAATACCTTTTGGATAGAGATAGATTAGGTATCACATATTGGGCAGGAAGGACTTAAATAGTTATGAAGAATTCCTTTTGCTTAACTCAGATGAATGCTAGATGTAGCTGTCTTCAGACCTTCCAGATGCATGTATACCTAAAACTTAAATTATCATTTGCTTTATGGTTTGTATTAAATGGCCTTCTGGGCACTTCTCCAGTTGGTTTTAAAAACAGTTTAAAAGTTTAGAAATTGTGGTCCGAGATACTTGTTTTAGTTGAGCAGTAGGCCTGCATGTTAGTGTGAAGGACTGTAAACATTCATTTGTGCTTTAGAAATGCGGAATCCAAGTTGGGAATGGTACACTATTCTATTTTCTTGTTTTGTGTTTTTTTGATCTGCTTTTCCACTTGTAAATGGAAACAGTTAAATGGTGTAGTGTAGTTATTTTCAGTGTAATAAGAATATTTTTAAGAAATTAAGAATTTATCAAAGAATTAAGACTATTTTAACAAATTAATGTACTTTTAACAAAAAATCTTGTATCAAAAGGTACGTGTAGTATCTAATTAAGTTCTTGAATATAAAACTCCTAAAGCATAGTTATTAACATTGTATTTATTTTGACCTCTTTGTTATTGCCTGTAGGTGAGGTTCAACGTAGTGCAGTATGTTGTTCCCGAGGTGAAAGAACTTTACAATTGGCTTGAAGTCGACTTTCACCCTCTGAAGTTGTGCGGTCGTGTCAGCAAGGTAAGCTTTGTAGCTCTGTGAATATAAGTGGTCTGGACTGCTAGTGTAGTACTTGGTTGTTAGATGGTGGTAAATACCAGCTGGTTGTCTATGTTTCTCTCCTGCTGAATTTCTAATAGTGGCCTTTTATTTGGCCAGATTAAGTGCGTGTATGTAACTGATTATGTAGATAGCACACTAGATTGTTAAAATGAAAAAAAATATTATCTGAGTCTCTGGGATATTATAAAGAGAGCATTGATAAAGATTCAGTTTTGTGAACTTCTCAGAAGCTACGGTGGATGGAAATTATAAGAGTTGAATTTAGTTCAGTGATGTAGGAGAAAAAAATGTGAGTGATACGGGGAAAAGAAAAAACTGTAGTCTCATTTTACTATTAGAATGTAGAGTCTCAGAGGTAAAATAATTTGAGATCTTGTTGATTACATTAATTTAAATTAGTAATGTGCTTACTGTTGCCAGTGTTGTCAGTCATGTACATACAGGAAAATATTAGCTATCCAGTATAAATAAGTGTTTCAATACAAAGTTATAGCTCAGTAAAATAGCATAGGATCTGGAGGTCAGAGCAGTTTTTTTTTTCATAATGGTAAAGAGAAGTGTGCAAGAACCATGCTTCTTGCTTAAAAGTGAAGTTTTCTAGTATTTATTCAGCTGAGTAACTTGTAAAAATTGTGACAGGTTCTGAACTGGGTGAAGGATCAAGCTGAAAAGGAGCCTGAACTGCAGCTCTATATTCCTCACCTGCAGAACAACACCATTCTTCGGCTTCTGCAGCAGGTATGAATGAGGAAGGTGTACATTCACAGCCATATGTAAGTCAGAAAATACTTCAGAGAGAATCCTATAATGGAGACTTTTATGTTAAAGTAAATATTCCCATCAAACAGAAAATAGTTCTGACTTTGAAGTATTTTTTTTCCAGTGTGTATCTTACACCTTCAGGTTTCTGCGTTGTGAAGGTACAGCCTTAGCAAATACACTTAATTTTAGTAGTGGTTGCATACAATAGTGTATTCTTTCGCTTAGTTTTTTTTCCATCATAGATCTCTGAAGTCTTGCTTAAGGGAATTCATGGTTTCTTGAAGCTTTTTATTTGGAGTAAGCTTTGGATGACATTTTCTTTGGGGCTTTTTTTACAAAATGCACATTTCATTGACCTGCTTTCTTTATAAGTGATGAGCAGTGTTATTTCTGATGTGCCAAAGAAATAATTGAAGGCTAATTAGCAGCATAGCTTTATGTAGCTACTGCTGCCAGTCTCCTTCATACAAAGAACTCATTCAGGAATTGTGTTAGGTTAAGTTTTAATCCTATGCAGAAGTAAAATATTAAAAGGAATATTTATTGCTTCATTAATAAGTGTACATAATTTATTGACAATTTAGCAAATTAATTTTATAGTGCCTTTTACATATTCTTTTTTTCTCAATTCTTTCCAGTGAATAGAAAAATGCCTAACACTTCTTTTCACATACAGGTGGCCCAGATTTATCAAAGCATTGAATTTACTCGTCTGGCTAACCTGGTTCCTTTTGTCGATGCCTTCCAGCTGGAACGTGCTATTGTAGATGCAGCCAGACATTGTGACTTGCAGGTAAGCACTTTAGAAAGACTTAAGTGAAATGGGGTGTGGGTTCTGTCATGCTGCAGAGAAACCTACCCAGTTTGACATGAAATGTCAAAGTAAAGTAGATAACTAGCCCTGAAGGAGGAGGAGATGAAATAGAATAAGAAGATGCAAGTGGGAGGACATGTAATGAACTCCCAGTTCTTAAATCTGGAATGGTTTTCTGATTTCTGTGAACAACAATTAATATAGGTGCAGTGATTACATATAAATGCAGGGCAGTAACTAATGAGAATGTAGTACAAGTGCAAAGCAGATGTTGAAATTTAAGTTTGAGGAAACTTCCGTGGGCTCCAGTTATTTAGTCAAAAAAGTCCTAAAGCAAGTCTAACAAATAAGAGTGTTAGTGATATTGCTTATTGGCAGAACAACAGAGAAATAACTTAATTAAGAATATATAATCATTTTTTTTCTCTTTTCATTTTGCAAAGGTTCGCCTTGATCATACTTCTCGAACGCTGAGTTTTGGCTCAGATTTGAATTACAGCACTAGGGAAGATGCTCCGCAAGGCCCTCAGCTGCAGAGCATGCCCTCCGAGCAGATTAGGAATCAGTTGACTGCCATGTCCTCAGCTCTGGCTAAAGCTCTCGCAGTCATTAAGCCTCCTCACCTACTGGTAAGTTGTGTTGTTGTTTGTTTTAACATCTTCTGGAGTTGTTGACAGATTCAGACATTCCCTGAAGTCCGTTGTAAATTTGTTGTCTTTTGATTTTTTGCTTTTCTGATCAACTGTTCATTCAAGTAATCTGCATTCAGTGCAGTGGAAATAAATATTATTACTGCTGTCTGCCCCCTGTGAAAGAAAAATGCTCACGGCTCCATGATAAACGGTACAGATGTAGCGTGGAGTTAATGCATTTTCAAATTACAGAGCATTCTTCTGCAACTGCTACATATTTGGCTCTTCTCATGTGTCTTGATTTTCTGGCTTAACAAGACAAACTTGTTTTGAAGCTTTGAGATCRTACTTGAGTATTACCCTTCAGTGACTTTGTTTAGCTTTCTTTGACGTGGAGAAGACATCAAGCCACCTAATGAATAATATAACAAAGCAATGCAAAGATTTGAGAAGGAAAAGATTAATGCTTAAGTAAATATGTTTGATGAAGTGTATTGCTCCTTTTTCCTTATTTTATGATAGCAGTCTTTGATATAATTTGGTTGTAATGATGAGCTGCTTTTTGTATACTTCCGCTTTTAAGTTTGTTTTAAGGAGTGCTTTTTTCAGATTAGATTCATTTTAGTTTTTCTGCTTGACAGTAGCTCGCCATTTGTGTTTGTGAAGAAGGCTAAAACATTCATAAAGGCACCCAGCTCTTAAGTGTCTGATCATAACTAGAACAATCTCAAAATGTACATGAGAGGCCTGAACTGAAATTTCTAGTCTTTCATATTCAAATTTGGGTTATACCAAATAGTAACCTTCCACTTATGGGTTTACAAAGGTAGCATTTGTTTAAAATTTGATTTACACTTACGAAAATGCAAAAGCCAGCTTTCTCTGTGAGAGAAAATAACAGTTTTCTGCAGAAATGAAAGCTCCCACAGCTGAAGAATTGACCTGTTCATTTCTCTCTCTGTGGCCATTGGCTTTCAAGATCGCATTCACCCATGAACTCACATATCATGTTCTCCAGAGCCCCATATGAGCAAGGTATAAATCAGTCTGGGATTTTTGGTGTGCCTTGTTTATGGTCCAGTAACCTTCACTTCTCTTTAAAGAGCAGTGGTAACATTTTTTTTCCTCTTTTTAAAATATACTTTTAATTAAAAAAAAAAACAAGCAATTTTTACTTATCACATTTTTTTTCCTTATATTAAAAAAAAAAACCTCTAATAATATGTTCATGTTAGATGTTTTATCCTGTTAGAAAYGTTAGATATTCATGAAGCCAACACAAGAAATAGCACTGTATCCTAATATCTAAATCTAGGTTAATTACATAAAAATAACTAACTCTGTAGTGCTTTAGRCTCAAAATATTCCATGCAGATTTTCCTCCAAAAAGGTTTATTATTGAATGATGTTAGATGTATTATATGCGTAATATATTGAATAGATGCATAAAAGCAAACCCATCTCTTACCTGTGTATCTGTAGGGGRAATTGTTGCTTAGCCTTGTCTGGCACAGAGATGTAACTTGCTGAAGCAGACATACAAACACTAGTAACCCTGCTTGTAAAATCGGAGTAGCTTCTGAGCAGGCTGAAGTTTAATGCTGGTTTGTGTGTGCTTAGAGAAGCTGTGCACGCGGCTGATACCTTCCTCTTTTTTCTTTTTTCCTCCATTCCCTATTCACATTCAAACTTTCGGTGCTTTAACAATTCTAAATATTGTCAGATTTGTTATAATTTACAGATTTTGTTAAAAAAATAAGATTTTTGTTGTGGTTCTGGTATTTTGGCACCTCTGGTTACCGTAAACACTTGCAAATCTGGGACAAATTACARATCTTTGAATGTTTTTGTTTAATGTCTTAGAAGTGGCAGGTTACTAAAAATAACTTAGAGCTATTTGAAGAGCAGCACAGCTGAATGCAGGGAACTGGCTTGGCTGCAGTGCTTTGCTGCTTGCTGGCCGTGATTGAAGTGGGCAGCTCCCTGAGCTGGCCCAGTTGCCCCTTGTACCTTTTTGTGTGTAGAGCTCGAGTCTCTTCAAAGAACTGTGCAGCGCTGGGGAGGATGCTGAAAGAATGTTCTGTATTGTGATTTTATAGTGTTCATATCTAAGCTGCTGCAAACAAAAAAGAAAAAAGGGAGCTCTGGTGAAATATGACACAACTGTGCTTGCCAAAACATGCAAACACAAAACACACGTGCATTGTGTTCCTCCTCCTTCACTAATGCACCCTTAAATCTCAGACACACGCATGTGGAAGAGCTTTAGATGGAGTGTGAAAGTACCATTCCTACGGTAGCTGTGTTGCAGAACACTGTCTCATGCAGGCCGCTTTCAGCTCCATGTGCCCATGGTTCTGTTGAGCACTCTGCGTGCCACCTAAATGATTGATTAGATTTGCAAGTACAGTTGTATTTTCATGCAGTTGTCAAGTTTGATGAAAATAGAGGTTTCTTTGAGAAGTATTTGCTGTTCTTTGTGCCTTCTAAAGAGCTGTCACATATTGTCTTATCATTAATCCCAATTCAGCAAGAGAAGGAAGAGCAACATCAGCTAGCAGTCAATGCCTTCTTGAAGAATTCAAGGAAGGAGCATCAGCGTATTCTTGCACGACGCCAAACTATAGAGGAAAGGAAGGAGCGCCTTGAAAGTCTGAATATCCAGCGTGAAAAGGAAGAGCTGGAGCAGCGGGAAGCAGAGTTGCAGAAGGTCCGTAAAGCAGAGGAAGAGAGACTGCGCCAGGAAGCGAAGGAGAGGGAGAAGGAGCGTATCCTGCAGGAGCATGAGCAAATCAAGAAGAAGACAGTTCGGGAGCGCTTGGAGCAGATCAAGAAAACTGAACTGGGAGCCAAAGCATTTAAGGATATTGATATTGAGGTACGGAACTTGGTATCGAAGTGCTAAGTTATTTTTTATGTTGTGTTGTCACACGGTTAGGCTCTCAGAATTCCACATTCTCTACTGGTTTTATGCTGTAATTGTTTTAGAAATGGTCTCTAAAATATGAGATTGCCAATTTGACATTTAAATGTTTAATTTGCTCAACAATATGAGTAGATTTTGAGASTGAGTTTGGATAGGACTTATTTTCCTTGGAGGAATGAAGTCCAGCTGTTTCAAAGAGCAGTGCACAGATGAGTGCTTGTCTTTTTCTTCCCCCCCCATTGTTATTTATACAATAGTTAAAATATGAAACAGACGTTCACATTCTGTTTATGAGCATCTAGATTGTCTCAGAAATTGAGATAAAAAAGTTTTAAAATAGATTACTAATTACCCAAAGGGRAGTAAAATAAACTGAGAAAGATTCTAAAGCAAATTACTTGAGAAGTTCAGGACTGTAGAGAAGTGTAGAAGAACAGCAGAAAGAGCAATTGTAACAACATTTGCTTTATTTTTTTGTTGACCATTTGATTAAAGGATCTTGAAGAATTGGATCCTGACTTCATTATGGCTAAACAAGTTGAACAACTGGAGAAAGAGAAGAAGGAACTTCAGGAACGACTGAAGAATCAGGAGAAAAAGGTACAAAGTAGTAAGAATGCAAAAAATATGTCTGTCTGCCTGATACATAAATTGTGTTGGTGTTGAAAAATGGAATCGATTTGTGTTGCCCCTTTGAGTGTAAAAAGAGGCATTGCATGTATAACAAGCCAGCTGATTTAGTAGTATCAGTGCACGAGTGTATCCTAGTTAATGCASAGGGTTTGAGACTAGACCCTTAAGCTGTTTGTGAAGTGAATCTTGGTTGTGAAGACTTGTTCTCAGGGAGTGTTCAGAGATGGAGAAACCTTGAGAGAAGGCGAGGCTGTTCTAGAGATGCTAGATAGTTTTATTACATTAGTCCTCCTGAAACAGAGGATTCCTTTGATGGAAGCCTTCTTGGTGGCAGAAGAAAGTGTCTGAAGCTTGGGTGACCACGTAAGTACAGATTGTCAGAGTAGATAGAAATACATGACAAGAACAAGGTGATACCAAGGACTTCCAGCTGTACTCAAAAATGAAACAGACTGTGTGATACTGTTGATAATTCAGTTCTCTTAAACTGATTGCTAGARGTGAGAGACAAAAATTGCTTTAAAGGGTTCCAGTGAAGGATCTGTGGTGCTGCAGGCCAYGAAAACCTGATGTTCATACTGGACAAACTGGCAGAAAATATAGTAAAGAATAGAATAAATAGACACCTGGGTAAATATTATATACTTRGGATGATGAGCACAGCTTCTGTAAAAGGAATGCGAGGCAGGATTTCCCTTGGAGTTTCCTCAAAGTTATCAAAACCAAAGGAGCAACTGGAAAGTTGAAAAAAGGCTACCAAGAATGATCAATGATAAAACTTGGCTTCAGTGTAAGAAATATCTAAGTTAAATTATTTTAAAATAATTATTACACCTATATCTGAAAGTAACTTGTATCCTTTTTCCCARAAGCTATGAGATTGTACCTAGTGTAGCAGCTGTGGATAGGGAGCAGTTGTTCTTGTGCTAACTGCAAGGGATAGTGAGCTAGGAGACATCAAGTGAAGTGAGTAAAAGTCAAGTTCAGAATAAATAAGACAGTCTCCAAGCAGCAAGCCTTAGTATTTCTTGCCTCGTTGAGTTCCAAGGAGCRAGGAAAAAGGTATCCATTGATGCTATCTGAATATACAGAAACTGCCATCTTGCCAGGGAAATGCCTGGAGCCAAGAGGAGTTTGTGCTGGGGAGAGCACTAGGGGAAGTGTCCTGTAGGTGTTGCTGCAGTCCTGTCTCCTTCTCTCCTCGGATTCCTTGGGGAAATGCCAAAGATTGAGCATTCCAGGCTTGGTCTTTGCATACACCAGGCTGAGGCTGCCTTATCTTTCTGTAGATTGACTACTTTGAGAGAGCGAAGCGCTTGGAAGAAATTCCATTGATAAAGACTGCTTATGAGGAACAACGAGTGCATGATATGGAGTTGTGGGAGCAACAAGAAGAAGAAAGGGTAAGAATTTCTGCTTCAGGTAGTAAAATCCATTGGTAATGAGTGTTTCTTTTCTTTTTTCCTTTCTTTGCTTTTCTTTTCCCTTTTTTTTAAGATTTTCTCTTCCAGATCAATTCAGAGGAGATGGGAACTTGACAGATATAAGTGTTAGTTTTGTGATTTCATTCTGCAGGATCTTTCTGACTTCCAGTAGTGGCTTGGTGGATTGATTACAAGCATGTTGTGATGTCTCACCTTGTAATACATTAATATTATTTATTTTTAGATCACTACTTTGCAGTTGGAGCGTGAGAAAGCCCTTGAGCATAAGAACAGGCTATCAAGGATGCTGGAGGATAGAGACCTATTTGAAGCCAGGCTCAAAGCATCACGACGAACAGTTTATGAGGTACTCAAAACCTGGTTTTACAARAAAATCATGTACAGTAGCTGAGAATTATGAGATTGTTTGCTTTCTGTTTTGGCTGATTTTTTTTTTTCTTTTGTCTTTTATCCACTCCTAGATTTTATCATTTACAACTTCTTTAATGTCAGCTTCTGAAATAGGTTATATGGAAAATAATTGTCTCAAAGATAGTTAAGTTATTCTTTTTAATGCAATTACACTAGTGATAAGAGATCCATCATGTAGCTTGTGTCTCAGTAGCTGTCTGTACAGTAGATTGGACTTACTCTGATAGAATCGTACTGAAAAATAATTTTGAAGCCAAGAAATATATGAAAATAAATGAGTGTATTTTTCTTTAATCTTCTTATTTGAATCTGATGGTTATTTTGATATTCAAGTCATTGRGTAACTGAAGTCACAGGTCTCCAAAGTTTAATAACAATTAGAGTAAGAGGACAGGAAGAGAACTGTTGATTTGTTTTTTTGCTTTACATTCTGAATGTTTTTCTGTAATTGTTGTAACTTTTATTACATGCCTGTATTGCAATAAGAAGTGGTAGGATTTTTAAATGTTTTAACAAGTTAGTTAACAATGTCTACAGTACTGTATATAATTCTCATGAGGTCTGTGACCAGGTAATGTATTTGCTTTCCCAAAGAAGCAAATGGAGCACTAACATTGTGCGTGCTGATTATTTTTGTTCCTTTGTATCAAATTTGTTGCAGAAAAGGGTTAGTTGCAATACCTAAAGCTTGAGCAGAAAAGATAAGCTTCCTTAGTAAAGTTAATATATTGCCTTAACAATATCATTGCTTGTAATTCTCTCTATTTGCCTCTTAGACACGTAAGTTATGATGGCTTTGTGTGAACTCCTTGTATTCCAGGATAAACTCAAGCAGTTCCAGGAGAGGTTGGCAGAGGAGAGGCGTAACCGCCTGGAGGAGCGCAAGAAGCAGCGCAAGGAGGAGAGGCGCATCACCTACTACAAAGAAAAGGAAGAGGAGGAGCAACGGCTGCGAGAGGAGCAGCTGCTGAAAGGTAGAACCGGGAACATGGTTAGGGTGCCTTGTCGATTCCTCACCCATTCCAGAGTTGTACCCGCTTAACTTCAGCTTTCYCTGTTTCACAGTGTTAGGGGAAGGTTGTTCTCCTTTAGTCAATGGCAAAGACTATCCCTGTTCACTGCTCTGCCTCCTATCCAATGGTGTACTCTGGATTTTCGCGCATGTGGGATGGAGAAGGCAAAAGTTTATAGGAGTGGAAAGCAAAAAGTATTTTGTGCAACCCCTTTTCTCCAGATGGTAATAAAGTAAGAGATAAGCATTAGTGAAAAATGAATCTTTGATTAATTTTTTAAGTTCTGACCATCGTCTATGCACATCTCATACAGAAGAGAAAGGAGCATCGATGTTAGGCTGATGACTGGACAATTGTCGACTCCTGCAGCCTTCTGTGATAATTGCTTTGTCTGATAACCAGGTCCAGGGATTTAAGATGAGCTTATAGACATCCCTTAAAATAAATTTCTGCTCAGCTTGTTGCTTAGTGGATGAAGGTTTATACAACGTTTTATAACCATGCAATATTTAAAACCAATGCAAAGAAACAAATCCTGGATAGCAAAATTCTGCATGGCTAGTYGATTATTGTTATTTTTTTGAACACTTTCTAAGGAGGACTCTTTTGTCATACTTGAGTCAGTTATTGATATTTTTACCAGCATGTCTGTAGTCTATACATGAATTAAACTGACCAATACTGGGACATTGTCTTCCAAATCTAGCAGCAGTTGTTCCAGATGGCAGGAATGTATCATGGTTTCTTTCCGTAGTGCTTTGGATTTAAGATACTAAAAAAAATCACATTCTGTTCTTAATATGACTTGTAAAGTGCTTGGATTTTCCTTTGGTTTTGGAGTGGAAGGGGAGAGATTATTAGTAAGCCTTCTTGAATACAGTGGAAGGGTAGCACAATTATATCTGCTGTATGTTTTATTTACAGAGCGTGAGGAGAAGGAGCGCCTCGAGCGGGAGAAACGCGAGCAGGAGCAGCGTGAGTACCAGGAACGTGTCAAGAAACTGGAAGAGCTGGAGAAGAAAAAACGGCAGAGAGAGATGGAGATAGAAGAAAGAGAGCGCCGCAGGGAAGAAGAGAGGAGGGGTCTGGATGACCCGTTTTCAAGAAAGGTAAATGTTAGCAGGGTTATGTATTTTTTTTACCCTACATAATCACTAAAATAATCAGTTAAGACCATGTTTAACTTATTTGACCACCTGATAATTCAGTATTTTCTACAAGAAATAGTTTGCTCATTTAAGAGCATACTGTGCTTAAAAGTAAGTCATTAGTTGGATTTTTTTTTTTTAATCTGAATTGAATTGAATTGAATTTGTTCTGACCTGCAGGAGTCTCGCTGGGGCGATAGGGAGTCTGAAAGCTCCTGGAGAAGAGGTGGGGAGACAGAGTCTGAGTGGCGGAGAGCCCCCGTGGAAAGGTGATTGTGGGTTTGCTGAGCACCGCTCGTTCTGGGCCCCAAGCCTCTGGGTTTCCTTTTCATTGCTGTTGCTTGCAACATTGAGCTAATTTTGAATTTTATCCTATGCATTTATATCTCTGGAAGTTATCTTGTATTAAAAAAAATTACATGTGGAAACACAGCTTAGACTGTAGGGTTATTATGGGTGTATAGAAGGGGGTTACTTGGATGTGATTTTTTAATACAAGTTCTTTGAGACTTAGCTAAATTTTTTTTCAGGTTGGGCTCAGTCTGGGAGCTAAACCTATWCTCTGTTGGGTTGCAGCAGATGGGCCATCAGGGACGACTGAGCAGTTGTGGTGTTGAGACAGCAAACTGTTCAGTCTTTGAAGCTGTAGAGAAGGCTGGAGAACCTTCTCTCCTGTAGAAGCCTACAGGARCCTGTGGCTTTCCTGTAGCAGTGAGGCAGTCAGAACGAGTGTTTGAAACCTGCAAGCGTTGTAAATGTAACCCCACGTCAAGTGGGTGCTTCCAGGAAACTGCACCCTGAAGGAGTTTGATGCCCTTAATCTAATATGGACGGGTGCCAGTTTCTCCTGCTTGCTCATACCTTGTGTTTGACAGAGACTGGCGCAGAGGAGAGCCGAGAGATGATGAAAGATCTTTCCGGCGCGGGGACGACCTGCCCCGGCGCGGGGACGACCTGCCCCGGCGCGGAGCTCCAGAGGAAAAGGAACGTCCATCTTTGGAGACATCTGAAGACAGGCCACCTAGGCGTGAAGGTGAAGAGGACAGGCCACCTAGGCGTGAAGGTGAAGAGGACAGGCCACCCAGGCGCGGGCTGGATGACGACAGGCCACCCAGGCGCGGGCTGGATGACGACAGAGGAAGCTGGCGAGCTGCAGATGACGACAGGGGTCCCAGGCATGGGCTGGATGATGACAGGCCACCCAGACGTGGCTTGGATGATGACAGGCCACCCAGACGTGGCTTGGATGATGACAGGCCACCCAGGCGCGGGCTAGATGATGACAGGCCACCCAGGCGCGGCTTGGACGACGACAGGGGCAGTTGGCGAGCAGCGGATGACGACAGAGGACCCAGGCGCGCCATGGATGACGACAGGCCACCCCGGCGCGGGCTGGATGACGACAGGCCGCCCAGGCGCGSGYTGGATGATGACAGGGGCAGCTGGCGAGCGGCTGATGAYGACAGGGGTCCCAGGCGYGGCCTGGATGACGACAGGCCACCCAGACGCGCCTTGGATGATGACAGGGGTCCCAGGCGTGGGCTGGACGACGACAGGGGACCGTGGCGCAGCTCAGATGATGACAGGCTCTCCAGAAGAGATGAGGACAGGGGGCCGTGGCGGAGCGGGGAGGATTCCAGGCCGGGACCTTGGAGACCATTTGGTAAACCAGGTAAGTAACCTCAGAGCACAGGCCAATGCAGTGCGGAATGGTTGTGATGTGGTTGGTGTTGGGGATGGGAGGATCAGCTCCCCAAAAATGTCTGAATTAATTTGGGCTAATATGGGCCCTTCTTTGTATAAATTAATCCCTTTCATTTGKCTGAATTAGGAAAAAAAGTTAAATGCAACAAGTGTGCATTACTTTCCTAGGACATGGCCAGAGGTCACATGGTAATGCTAGAAAGTCTGTGCCTCTGATGTGAAAAAAACAAAATACACAAGTTCAGTGACCTGGTGAGGGAGACCTTTCCATTAGGTACACATGCCTTCGTTTCTTTCCCTGTTCCTCTACTTTTAAAAATACGTCTGAAGTTAACCTCCTTCTAAGAAGGATTTTAGATAAGCGATTCAAGTTGTTCTAGTTTTGATCTTTTTAGTGTAGAAAAATATTACCATTTGAACTCAAACCTCAACTGCCCATGATCCTGTTCCTATATAGTTCCCATTCCAATRTAGTTTATTTGCTATCACGTTGCTAGCAAATATTGCCTTCCTTTCAGGTTCTTTTTTATGTATATTGATGATGTTTAAATGTTTTTCATTGTCTCTTTTTCTTGAGATTTCCATGTTTGCCATATCAGCTGCAAAAAGTAGATGGCAAATATCTAAATCTTGCTACTCTAMTAGTTTCCTCCTATCTTTAGGAATTTCCCTTCCTAAGTATCTGTAAATTAAGATTATCGTGGGATGAAGGATGTGTTGTGGAAGTTTATGGCAACTGATAGTTGCGTTTTTGAAGTAGTACTTTAAACAGCAGTAAGTTCTTACGATTTTTTTTCCTAAAATATTCTCACTTGTAGATTTTCACAGAATCTACAAGCGATATCTTGTAGTTCTAGCTACAAGATATTTATTTCTTCCTTTGCTCATCTTGCAAAAAAGGCATTGAGGAGAGTAGCATTTTCTGACTGAAAYAATCAGGGTATAAACCTGTCCGTGCTGAACCACACGAGGAGTACATACATGAAGTATATACTTCATATTAAGCAGTTTCCCCAGCATTTTGTGGATAGGGCTCCTACCCAAAGGTGGGTGTTTTTGGCCAACCTGAGTGAGACCCGGGGGTGCAGGAAGCCTCGGCAGCGGTTTCTGCGAAGCGGCAGCGCCGCTCCGCGCGCRTGCGGCTCCGCTCGCTCACCGGGACCTGTCCCTTGCAGGGGGGTGGCGGGAGCGCGAGAAGGCCCGCGAGGACAGCTGGGGGCCACCCCGCGACGCCCGCGCCCCCGCCGAGCGCGACTGGGACAGGGACAAGGACCGCGACGACAGCGAGAAGGACCGAGAGCTTGACAGAGACCGGGACCTCGATAGAGACGAGCGCTTCAGGCGCCCCAGGTTTGAGCCTTAAGGACGTGCGGAGTGTTTCTGGGGTGGGGGAAATAGATATCTGTGTCCTGATTCACTGTCTCTTCTTACTGTAGCAGAGGGAAAATGTTAACATCTAAACTTCTTTTGCTGTTTCCAATGGCAAAAGGGAGGATGCTGGCTGGAGAAGAGGACCAGCTGAGGAGACTTCTAGCTGGAGGGACTCGAGCCGTCGGGAGGAGTGGGACAGAGGTGGTCGTGACATGAGAGAGCGACGCATGGATGACAGAGATCTGCCCCCGAGAAGGGGACCGCCCCTCAGATCTGACCGTGAAGAGCGTATGTGTCTTTATTACTAAAAGCTTCATTTTACATCCTGCATGTCRCCCTGACAGCGATAGGTGTTAAAGGGGGAATAAGTTGTATTCTCAGYCAGCAAAGTGATGAACACACAGAAACTTTAGCGTGTGGTAACCTTGCTATGAAGCATCAGGAGAGACATCCCAGAAAATCACTTCTATCTCATTTCTTAGCAGTCTCAGAAGTCTGAGAAAGCATTTGCAAATAGGACCTCAGTAGTTCCACACTATTAATGATATTGATTTTGATTAATAATCTGCTTTAATTGTACACATTTAATTATACTGAATTCAAAAAATACTGTAATGAAAATGCATTAGACTGAGAAATCACATGGACCAATTCTAATGAGTTCTTATGTTCAAAATCTCATTTTATTTTAGTTTCAGCCCTCCGTATCAGTGTCCTGTGAATTGGGTGCTGTCATGCAGTGATCTTAGTGAACAAACTAGAACACCAAAAGAATTTGTACATCACTTTTTGCAGTTGGGATTTTCCTGTTTTCAAGACGTGGCTTTTCTCAACGAGATGCATTCTGTGCTTTTTTATGATTATGATACTAGTGTAAAATAAAAATATATTTTATATCATAAAACTGTACATCTATAGAACATTCTTATTTCTTATTACTCTGTTCTAAAGATGACAGTATTCAGTTGCTCAGTGATGCTGAATCTGAAAAGAGGCTTGAGATTTAATTGCTGTTCACGACTTCACTGTCAAATGGCATTTGGCTCATCCTCACGGTACCACTGGCCAGACAGAGGACAACTGAWTGGGACCTCTTTTCAGTGGTGGCCAGTGATAGAACTAGAGGAAACAGCCACAAACTGAAGAACCAAAAGTTCCACAGGAACTTAAAGAAAAATATGTTGACAGGGTGCCCAGAGAGGTTGTGGAGTCTCCTTSTCTGGAGATCTTCCAAACCCGCTTGGATGCCACCCTGTGCCATCTGCTCTAGGTGACCCTGTGTGTGCAGRGCGTTGGACTAGACCTCTAGAGGTCCCTTCCAGCCTTAAGGATTCTGTGATTCGATGACCAGAGATGGGCTGTACTTGTTTCGGCTCTTGCAGGCTGTAAGTGGAATGTAACAACCCTCCTTCATGTGCTTGTGTGTCCGTAGCGAGCTCCTGGCGCCGCGCCGACGACCGGAGAGAGGAGCGGGGAGAAGATCGGGAGCCAGCACGGCGACCTGCACCTGCTGCCACTGCCCCCCCTGCATCCGCTCCCCCGGCAGCAGCGAAGGAGCGGGAGAAAGAGGGGGACAAGGAGAAGGAGAAGGGTTCCTGGAAGGCGGAAAAGGAGCGTGAGCCTCTCCGCCGTTCTAAAAACGAGACAGATGAGGAAGGCTGGACCACTGTGCGGCGCTAAGGGAACGTCAGAGCGGTTTAACMGATGTTTTAGTCTTGATTTGATTGAATCCACAGGTTATATTTGTGCTTATGAATCTTCTCAATTGGATCCTTAACAAATCTTTTGAGATAACATGAAAGCATGAGCCTGAATTACTTACTCATATAGAGCGATCATGCACAAAACTCACAGCAGAAGTTTGGAAATTGATTGCCAGTTTTTGAAATTTCAAATATTGCTTATTTCATGGATCACTTGTTAAAATAAAAAGAAGCAATCCCAACAGCTGTCTTGAGTAATACTTCTGTCTTTCACTAAAACAAGCTATCTTTTTATTTTTAGTTGTTCTTAATTTGGAATGGGGTATCATCATCAAAGAAGGTGTGTTTTGAAAACACGTGTGTTCGTATTGTGGTGGAATTACCAAAAAGCAGAGCTGGATCAATTTCCACAATTAGTCCCCGGAAAAGGATATTAAACCCTCTCTTATTTAGGKATTTTTGAGGGCACGTGATTTTGAGATACATATTTTATCATTATCTAAATTCAGTAAGTGTTGACATTTGAATTAAATACAGTAATAAGCATTATGAGCTTCAGCTACACTGGGATATTTTCTGTAGATTTACTTGAATACATCTGCCTCTGGAGCTGTTTTGCAGTCAGTGTTCCAGCAACGTGTACTGCTGCAGTGTACAGCCACAAAACTGAAAGCTGTTAACGATTCAAGCATTTCAGTAAGCATATTGCTATGTATTTTTTGTTGCCAACAGCGTAACTGCTTTTTCCATTACTGGGTAATTCATGCCTTTCAAGAATTTATAAATATTGTCATATTTAAAATATGTGGTTTTGGAGAAATTACCCCCCTCTCCCTCAATTCTTTGTCTTCAGGGTACATTCTTTCCCTTTCCAAAAAAGTGGTTTGTAGTAATGCCTGTGTTGACTTCAATTTCGGGGTGCAGTAACAGTAAGTAACTATCTGGTCATACTGAAGCCAATACAGAACTTGCTGCTGTGTGTTTCTTCAATGATAAATAAACAACTTCTGGAATTAGCTTCTCTAGTGTCCTGACTTCTTGTTGAAAGGTCCGTGACAGGAATGGAGTCCCTGTCTCTGTGCCTGCCTCCTTCTCTACTGGGTGAAAGAGAATGTGACAGTAGTGGGGGCTGCAGTCCCTTCCTAAGCAGCCTTGGGGAAGTTGAACATGTGTGAACACAAGTTGTAGCACTCCTCTTGCTCTTCTGTTCCAGCCCTTCCCTAAGTTTCCCAGATCCCATTCACTTCTCAGGATCTGAAGACTTGCTGTCACAGTCACTGTCTCTGAGCAGCAGATGTTTGTGCCATTGGAAGCCTGTCCACTTAGAATCACAGAATGGCTGAGGGTAGACGGCACCTTCAGAGACCATCTAGTCCAACCCCCCTGCACACGCAGGGCCACCCAGAGCATGTGGCACAGGCTGCATCCACGTGGGTTTGGAAGATCTCCAGCGGAGACTCCACAACCTCCCTGGGCAGCCTGCTCCAGGGCTCTGTCGCCCTCACTAAGAAACTTCTCYGTAAGCTCCTGTGGCACTTTTGCTGCCTCAGTGTGTGGCCCTTTCCTCTTGTCCTTGGCTCTCGGAAGGGCTGGGCTCCCCTCAGCACTGGTGTTTCTGAGCACCCTGTGGGGTGCGCGCCTGGGGCGGCCTGCCACGGCTGGCAGCCACACCACCTGGGCCGCGGGGGATGGCGGCTGCCGCGGCCTTGTTGCTGTCCTTGCATTGTGTTGTAATTGGGGGTAAAAGGCGCTGCAGGAGGGCTCTGGGCCAACCTCCTGCTGTGAGATGAGACCCTGAGACCTCGGGCTGGAGACCGCGCAGGCTCCCAGGGCACGCTGAAGAGCCGGGCCCGGCTCCACGCTGCCCTCCCTCACAGTGCCCGCCGGTTGCTCTTGGCTCTCCCCCAAAAGCCRCCCCAGGCTCAAGGAGCCCCCTTCCCTCAGCCTGCCCTCGCAGGGCCAACGCTCCAGCCCCGACCGCTCTGGGGCCTCCCTGCTGCCCTCTCTCCACTCTATCGATGTATTTTCTGTTGTGAAGGGGCCCGGAGTGGGGCATTGCATCTAGGTGTCATCCAGTGAGTGCTGAATACGCTCCTCTTGTCCACAAAACCAGTTAGTCTACCCCAGAAAGCAGCTGGGTCGGTCAGGCATGATCTACCCTTGGTAAATCTATGCCGACTCTTCACAGTCATCTCCTTCTTGCACCCAGAAACGTGCTTGGAGGTGACGGATACATGATTTCCCTAGGGACTGAATGGAGACACTGGCCTGGAGCTTCCTGGGTCACAAACTGGGCTTTTGTCTTGGGAGGTGTGTGGAGCCTTGGCCTTTCCCCAGCAGCAGGAGCATCTGAAAAGTGACTATAGCTCCACTCAGGTGTTTKTAATCCTATCCCAGCAGAACCCTGCCCATACAGGGATGGATGGTCCATTAGGTCATTGCACCAGATTAGTGGCACAGCTTTATAAGGGGACTTTGATAAGTTACTGATTTTTTTAAAAAGTAATTGTGATTGTCACAATGCAGATCTCAAGATATTTAAGACTGCCCCATGTAACATTCTCAGGACTAGGCTACTTAACAAGAGATCTAGGAGATGTGAACTTGACAGACACAACTGTATTTATTGTCTTGTTTCACCCTTTTAGACAAAATTCAGTGCTCAAAAACTCCTTCTGACCAATAGATGAACCTCCATCTATGGCCACAACTACACATTAATACGTTTGGATACRTGGAGATTGTTGAAGCAGTGAAATGAATTCTGTAGCAAGCTGGGTTTGATTAATCTTTAACTGAAGTTTAAAATGTTTATTGAAACAGMTTGTAAAACACCACGGTTAGATGGTGGAACTGCTCCAGGCTGATGGTCCTATATGCAATGTGGCTTGATTAAAGCAATCTGCAGAAATAAAGCAACATTAAGCAAGCTGCTTGAACAGGGACTTTTAGTATTTTGTTTCCTCTAAAGTGTTTTTTTCTGTGTTTTAGGAGTGTTTTAAATGAAAATTGCTAATTAAAGACAGAGATAATGGGGATAAAGTGGCACTGCTCCAAACTGGGGACAGAGACAGTGCAAGGCAAACCATGACCTTGGCCTCGTGAGCCTTAATGCAGACACGAAAGGGGCCAAAACACATTTGGGAGCTATAGGTGGGACTGCTGGACAACCGGCTTGCAGGTCACTGCAAACAACCACTGCACTCAAGGACGCTTTCTTGCTATAGCAAAGGGCCATTATTAAAGTTATGAGCCCACAAAATCAAATCATCGGGTCACTGAAATGTAAGATTCAAAATGTACCTGTCATTCAGAAATTAGTAAAAATTACATRTAGTTTTTTTACAGAATTGCAGGAAATGGGCAGGCAGGAAGCAATGSAAGAGCAGGCACTTCCTCCTGTTTTGCAGGGCAGGACCAACATGTTCTCAAGGCAGTGGCACCAATTTAATTATTGGTAGGATGTAAATTCTGCAAACTATTCCAGTGCTTTACACCTCATTAAAATCTCCCTCCAATATTTAATTCATTCCTGTGTGAATTATATTTGAATAGTGAATTATATTTCAAAAATATCACTATGTAAAAGACTCACTTGCATACCTAGGGATATTTCCTTATAACATGGTGATTCTTGAAAGATATTTGATTTAAAGCAGTAATTTTGACCTGTAGATGCCTGTAATGAAAAAGGAAGTTCACCTTMGCCTTGCTCTTCCTAGTTACCTTCTGGGGGGGGCCATAAAAGCTTCCACCCTGGGCTGCTTTTCTGCTTAAACTATTTGTGGCTCCAAGGACTTAAGTTACTCATTAGTAGCTTATTTTTTTTCCAATAATTTCAGCAATCTGCACAGAACTGTGAGCACTGTCTGTCACGCGAAGCTTTCAGGAGCGGCCAAGCAGCAGCAGCGCCCTTCTGCTCGCGCAGAGCCGGGGGGCAGCCCGAGACGGTCGCTGCCTCCCGAACAACACACCGTGACCAATTCCTCTTTGCAAGATCCTTCACAGGGGCTGGTGACAGGCGACTCGGGAGGATGCGCTGCTGCTAACTGAGCAGCGACCTGCTCGAAAAACGCTGCTTTGGAAGTGTCTTCTGCCTTCCCTGGTGTCTTCTCCAGGACGCTCTCCCCGCCTGGTCTGCTGTCACAAGCAGGAGCGTTCGGCTACAGCTGCTGCAGCAGAGGAACAGTCGGAGGAACAGGCGGAGCCATGGAGCAACACTCGGCACCTTGATGATTCCAGACTTGTGGAACAAGGGAGCTCATTTACAGCCTAAGAGGAAGCCCCAGCGCCTCCAGTGCAGCCCTGCCAGTGCTGCCCAGGAGAAAAGTTTTAAGGAGGTTTCCAGTAATGTTTCTTTCTTGCTTTTGTCTCCATTAACAAGCATCCAGGTTAAAACACACATGCTGAGCTTCATTTTTTTTTTACAAAAGAATAACAAAATCATGAAAGAAACCACCACAGCAGTACATTCAAGCTTGAGTCTAAGTGGTGGCAGATGCAGGTTAAGTCTGTGTGGATGTTACAGTGTATAGTTAAACTCCAGCAGCTTACATGGCAATGCAAGCCCTACATAGAATACAGTATACAACGAGGATGAGGAAATCGCAGCTACCATGAGATGAGCTGCAGCCGCTACAGTGCTGTTCAACACGAGCCCCTTGGTGTTTGGTGAGGGACTCAGCGCCAACCTGGGGTGAATTGGTGGAGATTCAAGAGAGCACCTAGAGATTCAACTGCTCCACCCTCGGAGCGGCAGCTGGGCCRGTCAACAGCAGTTACAGACAGCAAATATCAGTCTTTCCTTTCCAACCCATTTTGCACCTTCCCACCCCATTCCTGGCCGTCCAGCTTCCCACTATCCCACCCCCATTCAACACTTCCCTACTTCCCTTTTTTAAACTCTCCTGTCTGCACCTGCCCTCCCCTCTTCCCAAGGGATCTCTAGGGGCTCTTGAGGGGGTYTTCCCGTCTCCCTTGCCCGGGGAGCGCGAGGCTGCCAGGATCCCACACTCGGCCCCAAYGCCCTGGCTGCAACCCAGCCGCGAAGCTGCCCTGGCTCCCGCCACCTCCCGTCTGAAAGGGACGTAAAGCCCCGCTTTTCCCTCCGGCCTTGGCAAATAAACCCTTCCCCTGATGCCTGTAGCCCTGCTCCAGCTTCCACTGTGTTATTCCCTGCCCTGCCCCTCGCCTTGGAGGGGCCGCTGCCCTTCCCCTCCGCCCCTCCCGGGCCGGCGCGGGGCCCGCAGCCCGTCTGCGGGGCCGGGACACGGGCGGGACCGGGACACGAGCGGGACCCAGCGGCGGCCCGGCGCACGGAGCCGCTCGGGGCTCCGACCGCCGCGCACCAAGCGCTCCCGTTCCCCGCACCCGGACACAGACCCACCTCCTTAGAAACCCTCACATACATCTATATTTATAGAGCAGCGCGGCGCTAGCGCGGCCGGCGGCGCGGCGCGCGCGGGCAGTACTTGACGGTGTGCGCGTAGTCGCCGCTGGCGCCGCACAGCGGGCACGTGTAGCGGCGCAGCACGGGGCACAGCACGCGCCCGTCGGCGCCGCGCAGGCTGTGCGCGCCCGGCAGCGCGCCCGCCTCGCGCGTGTTGCGGCAGAACACGCAGCCCGGCAGCCCGGCCTTGCGCAGCCGCGCGCCGCCGCCCGCGCCGCCGCCGAGCGCCGGCGGCCGCCCCGCCGACACCACGAGGCCGCCCCAGGCGCCGCCGCGCTCCGGCCGCCCGCAGAGCTGCAGCGCGCGCAGGTCCAGCGCGCCCTCCAGCAGCCGCCCCGCCGCCTCTTCCTCCTCGTCCTCCTCCTCCTCCTCCTCCAGCTCCTCGTCGTCCTCCAGCGCGGCGGGGCGCGGCCCCGCGCCGGGCGCCACGGCCTTGGTGATGAGCGTGGCCAGCCCCAGGTAGTCGTTCCACGAGTTGAACACGTTGCCGCGGGCGCTGCGCGCGCCGTAGCGCCCGCCCGGCAGGCGCTGCCCGGGCGGCAGGTGCCGCTGCGGCGGCGGCGGCTCCAGCTCCACCGCGGGGAAGGTCTCCATGGGGGCGGGGGGCGCCGCCCGCCCCGCCGGCTCCGCTCGCCCCGCTCCGGTTCCGACCCCGGTTCCGCTCCCGCTCCGGCCGCTGCTGCTGCCGCCGCTTGTGCGAGCGCGCGGCCGCGCGACGCGCCTCAAATAGGGCCGGCGGGCGCTACCATTGGCCGCTGGCCACAGCCCCCTCCCGTTCATTGGCTGGCGGAGCGGGGCGGGGCGCCTGCCGCACTCCTATTGGTCTCTGCGCTCAGCCCCCCTGCTGTTGATTGGCTGGTGGGGAGGGGGGCGCGGCGCCGCGCAGGTGGCGACCGGGACCGGCGGAGCACCGGGACCGGGACCACGGCCACGGCCACGGCCACGGCCACGGCCACGGCCACGGCCACGCTCCCGGTTGAGCTCCGGCTTTGAGTGGATGCCGGAGAGCTGTCAGGTCCGCGGGGAGCACTGGGGTCCGTTGGGAACGCGCTTCCCGCCGGGAGCTGCCGCTCCCTGGGATGTTTTGTTCAGGCGGCGCTTTAACCCCTGCGGTAATAAAGCGAGTTTAGGTTTAGTTTAGCGCGGGCGGTGCTGACCGGCCCCCGCAGGAGGCTGCAGAGCGCTCGAAAAGGCCCTTAAAGCGTCTGCTCCGTTTCAGATGGCTTTTATGTTTTCCCCCTGGGACATCAGGAAGCGGATGGATCCGACAGCGCCGAACCCGCCCGGGGCGGCCGCTCCAGCGGGGCTGAGCGCGGCCGGTGCCGGCCGGCTGCTGCTCCTGGTGGGTGTTTCTGTGCCCGGGAGCCGCAGGCCTTCCTCTAGCGCAAACCCCGTCCTCCGTGCCCCGCTCCCGAGCCGGGAATGACTGCTGGGATCCGTCCTTTGGGATCGTGTGTTTTAGCTGCCTTTTAATTCCGTTGAGCCAGGAAAGCGCAGAGCAACTCACAGCAGTGACCAGCCCTCCAGGAATCCCCTTTTTCCCTGCCCTCCAGGAATCCCTTTTTTCCCCCCATGCTCCAGGCTCCGTAGTTGCCCAGCCCTGGTTTCCTTGGACATCCAAGTGCAGCTCATACAGTCATTAACATCTATAAGGCACAAAAAAAATAGACACAATTTTAACGTGGCCGTCTAACCTATTGCAGAACACACAAACAACCCACAAATCAAATATTTATCAGCACCAGCACTTTTTTCTTTTTTTCTCTTTTTTTTTTTCCCCCTGGGACTATACTAACCCACATTAGTATCTCAAGGAGAAGAGAGTGAAAGTAGCACAGAAATTCATATGTACTCTTAAACACAAAAGTCTTTGCTTTATATGAAAGCTGAAAGGGCTCTTTAAGAATAATCTGTGTTTATGCATTTTGAATTATGTGTCAGAGAAGCATAACTAATGCTACAGAGGTGGCAGCCCTCGAGTGAGAAAGCAGGTTTCCCTCTTAAAGCAACCGGGTTCAGTTTGAAATTGAAAACTGCTGTTTCTGTCTATACATATAAAGTGAGTTTAAAACACCACAGTACATTTTCTCCCTTTATAATGAACAAAACTGAACTCGATATTAGTGGATCTGTTTATTCCTGTTGGGTGTGTTAAGATAATTCGGGGACCCGGCAGCGCCAATGCATCGCACGTTTTACACGTCACGCTTGTTCCTCGCTGTCTCAGTGTAAAAACTAGTTTTTGGCTCTCCCTAGGGCATGTTGAGACCCACACGGAGGCCTGGGGAGCTCGGAGAACCCCTCTCCCGACGGAGACCGGCCTGCACGGGGTGCTCGGGGGGAGAGGCGCCCTCAAACTTGGGTGTAAGGCCGTTTCACGCTTCCTTTTAACACTAGGGTGATACCCAGGAACCAGTTGAGCAAATGTGCTATAAGTCTGCATTTACCATGAAGTGCCTTACTACAGTATTTGCATTTTTCCCACTCAAAGTTGGCAGATTCTGTTAGATTTCAAAGGACTGTGGCATTTTAAAAGAAAGATGTTATGGTGACTTGCAGTGCAGGGTACAACCCTGTTCTGTTGATACCCATCGTAAACCCCCTCCTGCCTTAAGGAAGCCTGGCTTAAGGAAGCCAGGAGCTCAGGTGCGGATTTCACAGGGACTCACATATGAGTCTGCACTGTGTGTCCTGTGCAGGGTCGGGGAACTGGAAGGATGGGCTGATGTGTGTTAAAAAACAAAACCAACCAACTGACCAAAAAAAGCAGAGGATTTCAGTTTTGGAAAAGTGTTTGGATTCATCGAAAAGAGTATTTCAAATAAAGTTTTGGCTAGACACTCTACATTCCTTTTGCTATCCCACTTCTCCAGTAGTTACTGCCCTGGGACATCCTTGGAAAGGCTTGATGCCTCTATGAGAATTTATTGTTTCAGTTCCTGAAACTTGATTAATTTTTTTTTAATCCTAGTGAGATAAATGTCATTGCATTTTTTTTTCTGTCAAGCTGATAAACAAGATTCTACTGTAAAAGAAGAACAACTTAAAAGCTAGCAAGCATTGGAAAAGCAGAGCCCTCCTTTTCTGTTTTGTGCTCTTGTAAAAGGAGTAAGCTCTGGGATTTTGTTGCTTTGATTGCAAGTTTCCTTAATGTAAAATTGAAGTTGTGTCTGTCCTGAAAAACTCTGCTGGCTAAAAAAACAGTGGAATATCTGGAGAATACGTAAGTTAAGAAAACAAGTGGAAAGAATTTTTAATCAATCTAAATATTTTACATTTTCTATATCTGTGTTTTGCTTTTATCTTCTCAGAAATCATAGTTAACTTCAACCCCAAATTTGGGGGAAAGTGGGTCTTTGCTAATGATTCGACCCGTCCATCCCATGGTATCTCTCCCTCTCTTCAGTTTCACTCTGAATCTGACCCTGAGATCACGGTTTCATTTGTGATTTGGGGAAAAACTACCTTGTTCAAACTTTTGGTTCAGGAAATATATATATATATATATATATATAAAATATATATATTTATATATATAAAATATAATAATAATAATATAAATAATAATAATATTAATAATAATATAAATATATATATATTTATATATATATAAATATATAAATATATATATATATATCTCCTGAAGGGATAAACACCTAATTATATCTGGAAGCTGTACCTCAAAGATCCATCTTAATACTGTAACTGGTAGTAAAGCAACTGGTATGATTATGTGCATCACTGCAGCCCTCAGCCATTAACGAGCTTTTCTTGCTTAATGAAGTTAGTAACAGCTCGAATGTGCTTTGCTGGAATATTTCCATTGGAATCTCATTATCACCTACAAGCCTTTGTAATGGGGGTGCTAATGTGCACAGTGTTATATCCCTGATGGGCGAGATGGGATTAGAGGAGGATGGAGGGTGTTTTCAGGCACATGTGGCAGTTGTGGGGTGTTTGGGGCAGGCTGTGCTCTGGGCTCCACGTTGGGAGCCACGTTTCTAGCAAGACGAGGTGCAATGGGAGCGAGTCCAGCAGCAGGATGTATGCGATATGTGACCTCTTAGGAAACATGGAAAGAACTGGGGCAATCTGGTTGAGCGGAGACTGCAGTGAGGCATGAAAATAGTCTTAAATACCTTCAAAGAAGTAAGGAATAATCTGTTCTCTGTGATCCTCTTGGATAGGACACAGAGGAATGGGCTTAAAGGGCAGTGAGGGAGGTTTATGTTGAGTATTAGGGGAAAAAGGAAAGGATGATTAAGGTCTGCTTCAGATTACTTGGACCAGGATGCATGAGACAAATCTTCATCATTAGAGGAGGTGAAGAACAGGTTGGAGAAGCACTTACTGGAGGGGTTGTAGGTGCAATTGCTCCTGGCTTCAGCAGGTAGAGCCCAGGTGAAGCTTCCACCACAAGGATATTAAAATTTAAGGTTTGAGGCACATAAAGGAAGGAGAGACTCTGCACAGAGCTCAGAGATCTACTTGGTGCCTCCACAAGCACAGATATGATCAGCTCATCAGGTCTGTGCTCTGAATCAGACCAGTTCCACATTTGGGATTATCACCAGAACTCGTGATAGGTTTCTTGACAGAAAGAACAGAAGAATATTAATATTTTATAAAAACAAATGGGGCCATTATAGTTTGTTCCTTGGAATAATATGGGTCACAGAGCTTCCTCTGTTTGCTCTTATCTGAATTCCAGCATGTCCTGTGATAACTGAGGACCCTCGTTTCAAAACTTGATTCTGCCTGTAAACATTGGTCACTTTTAACCAATCTCCTCTCTTTGAAAGCCAGATTGAGCACCCGCCTCTGCGGCTATAAAGGCTGTTTTTGTACCCTTCATATTCCTATCTGACCTCCCTGCAACTTATCAACATCCTTCCTGAATTATGGGCTCTAATTTTAGCATGGCCCTGCGGGAGGAATGACATCAGCAATGTCAGGAGCACAGAGATACTCCCTTTTTTCTTTTTGCTCCATCATATCATGTATGACTGAGTAAGAACCCGAGAAAAATGGGTTCATCCCAAGGTTCCTCTGGCTCAGTATTTTTTTCACTGTAGCGTGTAGTGGGTGAATATTCAAGAGGGCTATTTCCCTCTGCAGGTCCCCCTGTTATTTGCCATCTTTTTAAGGTAAAGTAAAAGCGTAATCTGAAATTCCGGGTAAAGCCTCTGGGATGTGCAGCCTTGGAGCCTGGCATGTGCAGCGCTGTGTGATTTGCAGCTTTTTTAGAGAATGATTTCATGTTTTCTTCCAGTAAAGCTGCTACATAGTATGGGGCTGAGAACACATCACCATGGAGCTTCTGGGAAGCTTCAGGGTGATGATTTCTTGTTTACAGTTACATTGGAAGGTTTTTCAGATTTTTAATATGTGCCAGAGTAGTTTTGCACTGTTCTAGTGCCATTCATGCAGTGTTTTGTTATGTCAGTATTAGTGTATTTATGAACATACTTCTTAAACCTACTGCTAAAAGACACCAAGCTGCTTCAGGAGGATGTACTTGCTGTAAACATATGCCTGATATTTAGGCACAGACGTATTTAGACATATTTAGGTCTTGCTGCAGCGGCTGGGCC